CTAGGAAGAGTGGATAATGGCCATAAACTGAAATTTCATAACATTTATAAATTTAATCATTCAATTACTTACAAAATCATCAATTTAGTCCCATGGTCATTGATACTAACATATATGTGTTGATTTATTGTGAAAATTAGGTGGTTCATGCCAAATTTCAAAACACAAAATAAAACAACATTCTAAAATAAATGAAAGTTTAACCTTCAAATAATCAAATTGATAGCATTTGGAACAATTGAAGCACTAAATTCATAAATACTGACAATAAAAAACTAAATTATATAACAATCTATAATCGAAGGATCACGTGTATAATTTTTTTAAAATTATCAAACAGAACTAGAAAATAAAACATAACACAAAGCGACAACAAATTTGTTAATGCTTATTATATGAGATTCTATCCCAAAAAGTATCTAAACTCATAATTCATCTTATGCTTCTGGGTAAATAATAAAAGACAACCCTACCGCTACATACTTACTAAGTTAACATAATTAGCATATTTTTTAAATTTCTCTCCGTGTGTACGAAATATTACAAATTTATTGAACCTCTTTGACAATTAACTGCTTACATACAGTCTAATAGTAAAGGTTATTCACCCTGAAAGGAGAGATCACTTTCGTATAATAAAATTATGAGTTCGATTCTTATTAACATTTTCTTAATCAAATATGTTGCACAAGATCTTTTTAGTACAATTTATATTTTTTATATAGTTATGTGATTTGCGAGTTATTACAGATGTGAAAATTTAACTCAACAACCCCATAAAAGAACAAAATAACTAATTAGTACGTTTCCATGTGGTGAGTTATTATTACAATTATTGAACTAAAGATAACAACTGGTTGCCTGACAAAGAAAATCTTAAAATCACTTCTTTTCCTTACCCTTTCATGGAGAATGCAACGGTTGACACGCTGTTGGATGAGAGTGGTAACAGCTGGGATGACAACACCATAAAACATATTTTTGATCCAAGAGATGCTGATTTAATTATGAAGATACCCCTTGCAATGAACCAGGTGGAAGACAAACTCATTTGGGCACCGGAAGACGATGGTAAATTCACGGTTAAGAGCTGCTATAAGACCATCAATGGGGTGTTAAACAATGATCTAAAACTTGATTGGGCTCTGTTCTGGAAACTTAAACTTCCACCCAAGGTGAAAATATTTTTTTGGCAGGTTTGCACTCATTGTCTCCCAACAAAGACCTTACTACAGACCAAGAAGGTGCAATGTGATGACATTTGTGCTGTGTGCAACAAAGATGCAGAATCTTCATATCATTTGTTTATTGAATGCGGATTAGCAAAGGAGTGCTGGACCTTGCTAGGCTTTCCTACACCAATACCTACTGCACCGACGTTCCTGGACTGCTTCCATCAGTTTGCTCAGTCCCTATCCACTAGCCAACTCTGCCTGATGATCACTACTTGCTGGGAAATTTGGAAACACAGAAACGACAAAGTTTGGAACGGCAACAAATCCCAATCGGCCCGCCTCATCATCACTAAGGCTAGAAACTTCCTTGAAGAGTGGAGCAAAGCTTCGATTCCTACGAACATGCATGGTCACACTCGGTTTGCGGAAGATATGAAGTGGTCGAAGCCTCCTCAAGGATTCTTGAAACTTAATGTGGACGCGGCCATCGATACAGATAGCGGAAGAATGGGCTTTGGCAGCATTTTAAGAGATGAGCATGGCAGTTTTGTGGCTGCTAGAGGGCTCCAACGGCTTGGAACCTTTTCGCCAAGAGAAGCTGAATGTGCAGCAATCAGAGATGCTCTGGAGTGGATTAAGCTGAAGAATTATGAGAAAATTCAAGTGGAGACTGACTCTCTTGTTGTAGTGCAGAGTTTAAAAAATCCTAGAGGAGACTCTTCTTTCCATCTTATCATTAGAGATATTGAGATTATCTTGAGGGATCTCCCTCAAGTCACTCTATCATTTGTTAGGCGATCAGCAAATCGGGTAGCCCACGTCTTAGCGAGGCAGTCCGTTTTTAGGTCTGGTTGTACGGAGTGGTTTGTCAACCCTCCTTCTTATCTTTGTAACCTGTTATTTTCTGATATTAATGAATAGTTTCCGTTTGTTTCCAAAAAAAAAAAAAAAAAAAAAAAGATAACACATTTAATTGATGAATGGGTCCTACTCAGCAATGAAAATGGATGAATGATGTTTGATCAGTACTGAAAATGGATGGTGGTGAGAGGGAATATATATATATATATATATATATATATATATATATATATATATATATATATATATATTGTGTGTGTTCAAATACGGATAGTGTTTTATGTGCGGTTGTTGTGGATTCACCATTAGGTACGTAAAAATGCACCACAATGAAATGCAACAATGCACCACACACCCAAAAATATGCACCACATCTAATTGTGCACTTTTGTACACTTTGTGGTGCATTTATGTGTACCTAGTGGTGAGTGCCCGCACAGCCACACGGGAAGCACTGTTCGCACGGGAACTTGATCATATATATATATATATATATATATATATATATATATATATATATATATATATATATATATATGAGCATGATTAAATTAGAATATGATCTTATTATTGTAAAAAGTGAGAATTGATCTCAACGGTCTATCAAGTTTATATAAATGGTTGAGGATTTTAGTAAAAAAACAAAACAAAAAAAATCAATTTTATATTTATTGAAAACTTTTAAGTCCAGAGTCATTTGATAATTATTACAAAATTGAAATTTTAGTAATAGTAAGTAATATAATACTCTTCACGTGTTTCTACAAAATAAAACTCTTCATTAACGTGATATATGCAATGTTCCCTTCCTAATTCTAAAATCTGTCATTTTTGTATATTACATATTTACATTAATTAATATAATGTTTCATGAAGGTGATATGGCGAGGTGCCCACGTACACCCAGTGAAGATTGAGCAACTTCACTGTTCATCACAATATTTTGTTGCCTCAAATCCTCAATGGTCACTTCAATTCATATATATGTCCTCCTCAATGTGATGTCCAGTCTGTGGTATAAGCTTGAAATGCAATAATATGCCATGGGACCCTGCTGTCCCTGCATCATATACTCAATGACAAATCTAAAAAATATTATATTGTTGATAAGAAAAATGATATACTTTTAAAAACAGTTCAGAATGTTAATCTTTTCATATTAATAGCAGTTGAGAAATGATAAATTGAAACCAAAACTTTTTAGGAATGTTCAAGTTCCGATTTAAATTGCTAGTTTGAACTTTTTTTTTTTTTTTTTTTAGTAAATTCTATTCTTTATTTTTAAAATATTATAAATTCAACAATTAATTTTTTCTCAATTTAGAACGGGCACGATTGATTCCAATTCTCAATTTTAATAAACCGGAACGGGAACCTTTTACATTATGATTCTAAACTGAGGTGTGTTCATATCCTTAATTATTTCATGCATGTAAAAGTAATTAAATGTATTTTCTGTTTACATTTCTCATGTTCTCCATTAGTAAACGCATCATCGATCCTTAATCTCTTTCTCTGGAGTCGTAGTCAATCTAGTTTCCTAATTTACCTGGGGACATTCAATGCTATAAAGCCTATAAATACCCTGAAAAGGGCAGTTTGCAACTTTTAATACACTGCACGTAAATGCTTCGCACTTAATTACATTTTTCTTTTTTTCAATTCTCACACCTTTTTTTAGCCCAGTATTTCCACGTCGAACACAGTAATTCATCCTAATTTAATGGTAAATACCTGCATATCCAAAATTTAGGATCAAATGCTTAACGTTTGGTTAAAGATGGGTGAGTCCTTCCACTTAACTACTACACCCGACAAGCGTTGCCAGGCATCATGAGCTATCATAGTCGAATATATTAGCGGTTGGATTGTGTCTGAACAATTCCCTAGAAGGACACTAATGATTATCTGGTCTTGACGAAACCAAATTAGATGGGGTGAGTTTGTGATGGTTTGAGCAGGATCGGTAGTAGAACTGTCAATATAGCTGAGGAGATTAATAAAGCCAATGAGAGTGGATTAGACTTGACGTCTCCGGACAGAAAAATTTGTGATAGTGAGTTTAATAGGAAAGTTTGTAGGTTCATTGGTGATTGCAGGAGCAACAACACCAGGTAAGGAAGGAGTGGAGGCTATTGATAAAGCTTTAGAGATAGGAAAAAAAAAAACTTTCAGTAGGAAATTCAAGCTTTTGATACCATGTAAAACAAACTATGTTTTATTAATGAAGAGATAGCAGGAATTTACAACAATTACTAATGTACAACAACACATTTAGAACATATAAATTAATATAAAGAATGTCATCCAGATATATGCTTAACACCCTCCAAGTTTTGGCCATGAAGGTTAGGAGACTTAGGAGTGTAATTAGTTGCAAGCCTCTTAATCATGCACAATCTTGACAAGTCTAAACAAAGTAAGATAGTTGAAGCGTTGTTAACGTAATTTTCTTTAATATATATTATCATTAAATAATTAATTAATTAGTAATTAGGAGAAAATCCGCTCGTGGAATAGTTAACCACAATCTTGACAACTCCAACAATAAGACAATTATTTTTTGGTCAGTATGGACAATTTAATTGATTCTTAATTGGTAAATTATGGACACTATTTGACAGTAACAGTGTGAACGTTACACTTAAAGGACACTAGGCACTGGTCCTCCCCTTAATGACCCACTAAGTTATTATGACTTACATTTCGATTATCTTGTCGGGCAGGAATGTAAAGCTCTAAAACAAAGGAATTTTGCCTTTTGTAGGCAAAACAATTACCCATCCATCTTATTTTATGTGTCTGATTCTGTTAGACTGAAGTTATTTAATTTAATATTAGTATACAAAATTTATATGTGTAAAAACTAAAAAAGTATTATTAAAACAAAACAAAAAATTAAAAAATAATTAAAAAAAAAAAGTTGTTTGACCAATGATAAAATGGGTGGGAATATTATCTATGTTCTCTACCACTATAAATCCACTCCCAAGAACGAAGAATCATTCACATTAAACTCATCTGGATCAATTACAACGTTAGTCATGGTTCTTGATTTTCCAACTTTCTTAGCCACTTTTTGCTTTCTCTTTGCCTTGCTCTACCTTTCATGGAGATCCAAGATTTTTCATTCATTCACCAAGAAAAAGACTCTGCCGCCGGAAGTTGACGGTGCGCGGCCGATTCTCGGCCACCTCCGCCTACTCGGCAGCGGGGGTATTCCTCTCGGCCGGAAACTGGCGGCGATGGCGGATAAATACGGCTCCGTTTTCACCCTCCGCCTTGGGATGTACCGGATCCTGGTGGTTAGCAGCTGGGAAGCCGTGAAGGACTGCTTCACCACCAACGACAAAGTCATGGCGGCCCGCCCGGATTTCGCGGTCGCGAAATACCTCGGCTACAACTACGCCGTGTTCAGCCTCGACACCGACAGCCCGTACTGGCGGAAAATGCGGAAGTTCGCCGTGACGGAGTTGCTGTCGTCGCAGAAGCTCGAGAAGCTCAGACACCTCCGCGTGTCGGAGGTGGAGACGAGCCTGAAAGAGCTCTACATGCTGATCACAAGCTCTTCCTCGGCGAAAACCGTAGACATGAGCGAGTGGTTCGGGCAGTTGACGTTGAATTTGATCGTGAAGATTGTCGCCGGGAAGCGGTTCAAGTTTAAGGTGAAGGAAGACGACGATTGCGATGAGTACAAAGAGGCGCAGCATATCATCGAGGTGTTTAAGGAATTCATGTACCTTAACGGGCAGTTCGTGTTCGGAGATGCTTTTCCGTTCTGGATCGTCAGGTGGGTGGAGTTTCAGCGCCGGGTGGTTAAGGATATGGGGAGGATTATGAAAGAACTGGACACCATTCTTCAGCGGTGGTTGGACGAGCACGTCGACGCGCGGCGGAAGCGGTCGTCGGCGGCGAACGAGTCCGGGAAGAATGATCATCAAGATTTCATCGACGTCATGCTTTCTATGATCGACGACGACTTTGCTCGGGGACTTGCTTATCCTCCTGAAATAATCATCAAGGCAACAGGATTGGTCTGTATACGCCTTTACTAATTTTTTTGTTTTTTTGGTGAATGGGGTGAACCGTGACTCGTTAAAGGATTAGAAAGAGGTAAACCAGCTAGGTTACAGGCTCTTATAGGAAGTTTTAACTTAGAACTTACCAAGTCAATAACTCGACTAATTTGATTGGGGTTGCAGCTTCGTTTTTGGGTGACGGGTGTGGCCTTGCAACTCTAGCTAAAAAAAGACTACAATGAAATAAATAGGTGGCTCCCATCAAAAGTCTGAACTTGGAACCTTGTGGTGGCGGGTTACCAAGTCAATCGTTACCAATTTGACTAGGGTTGCAGTCAATATTTAACTATTTTTTTTTCATTTTTTGGGCAACGGGTGGTGTTGGTAAATTTAGAGGTGACTACAATTTTGATTTCGGACAAAATCGCTGATTTCGGTTTTAAAAATAAAAAAATCAGAACCAGAACTTTATATAAAGGTTTCAATTCCGATTCTAGAACCGACGATTCTAACCGGATTTTTTTTTTTTAAAAAAAAAAAAAAAAAAGTTAGGCCATGTTATTGGCCAAATTGGCGCAAAGGCCAAGATGACCAAAAATTGGCCTTTGCGCCAGGGGGACCCACTGCCCATCGCGGCAGTATGCCAGGCAGCTTGAAGCTGCCAACTAATGCTATGTGTTTTTTTCTCCGGTTCCAATATTTCAAGAACCTTAACCGGAACCTTATTGGTTCCGGTTAGGAACTGGTTCGGTTCAATTCCGTGGTCATTCGTCGCTAAATTCGTCGATTACTACATTATCAGTTACGGTTTGAACCGAACCGTGGTCATCCTTAGGTAAATCTTATTTTGTGATGATTCTAGCGGACAAAGGATTTCTAAAAGTGGGTAAATCTTGTTTTGTGACTCTAGTAGATAAATAATTACTGAATATAATCTAAGTTATTATTCAAACTAAAAAGGTTAATAGGTTGCTTCTTTAAACTTGAAACATTATCGTAACCAAGTCAACAGACCAATTTGGCTGATATGATATTGCATGCCCTAATATTTTCTTCTTTTTTATACATTTTTGCTCTAATTTTAATCGTTATGTCTCATTTTATGCATGCAGAGTATGATCATTGATGGGTCGGATACTACGGCGGTGCATTTGACATGGCTATTGTCGTTGATAGTGAATCACCCCGATGCAATGAAGCGTATCCGGGAGGATATAGACTCAAAAGTCGGCAAAGAAAGGTGGGTTGAAGACGGGGACATTAAGGACATGGAATACCTTCAAGCGGCGGTGAAAGAGACGCTGCGGTTGTATCCGCCGTTGCCGACGTACGCGCCGCACGCGGCGACGGAGGACTGCAAGGTCGGCGGTTACGACATTCCGAAAGGGACGCATCTGTACGTGAACGCCTGGAAAGTGCATCGGGACCCGCGGATTTGGCCGGAACCCGAGAGGTTCATGCCGGAGAGGTTCCTGACGGCGGCGCAGGCGGATGCGCCGTGGAGGAACTTCGAGTACATCCCGTTCGGCGGCGGGAGGAGGTCTTGCATCGGGAACACGTACGCGATGCAGGTGTCGCACCTCACGGTGGCGCGGTTGATTCAGGGATTCGATTTCGAGACGCCGTCGGAAAAGCCGCTGGATATGAGCGAGGGTTTGGGGATTACTCTGCCGCGCGCGACGGCGTTGGATGTCGTCATCACGCCTCGCCTGCCGCCCAGCTTCTATGGACTCTAGTCTTCAGGTGTAAACTCTTGGCCATATCAATGGCGTGCAGTGCGATCTTCTTTAATTTGTGTAATGTTATTTCTTGTTTCGCCCAATAAAATAATACTCCTTATCTCCCGAAATATTTAATTTGTCTCAAAAAGTTAACTCCATTTTTATTTATGCTCTTTGTACTTTTTTGACAATTTTGCTTCATTTCTTCATCTTTCTTCATCTCATGATCCATAGACATTTATTCTTTTTTCTTCAACAAATACTATATAGAGTAGTGATGTATATAAATTTGAATTATGGAGAGGATTGTCACTATTGAGTTGCAAATGTCAACAGCCTCATGGGAGTTTGTGGGTGAGGCATTGTTCTGTTAAAAGACATTTGGAGGATGTGTATTTTAAGAGAGTTATAAAGTTCTTAAGCTCTTTAAAAAAAAAAAAATTACACTTCATAAAATTGATCGGAGATTGGAATGAGTGCAATATCAGTTTAAGAGACTATAAGAAATGAATAGTATGAATAGTTGTTGATGCCCATATCTGCCAAAGTTTATTTCCTTGATTTGGAAATGAAGAGACATGGAAGGAACTAGGAAGAATAGTGTATTATGTATGAGTAATTCTACATATACTCTTAATTCATATTCTCATTTTGTACTCCTTGTAATTTGACATGTTTTGATTGTTTAATTTTATAAGGGGCTATGATGTTTATCTATTTCTTTCTTTTATCCTTTTATCAAATTCAGATACCATCTAAGTATTTTCCATGGTTCTTCCAAACGATTCTTGAGAGGATAAGAAGCAAATTTAGTTTGAGTGGATGAGAATTGTTGAGAACTAATGAGTGCGTGTGGGCCTGTGACAAAAGTTGAAAGGGTAAAGTGAGACAATAAAAATACAATAATGTTAATTTTTGGAAAGTAAACAATAATTGGACAAATTATGCTGTGAGCACGTTCCACCTTGTAAGGTGAGCACGATTTTATATCCATATTTTTTATATTATAGATTCATAAAATTTATACTTTAGATTTCAATTGTTGAACTCTATTTTCACAAATCAGAGAACTATATGTTTATAATTTGATAATTATACAGTTTAGAAATTATGAATTTACAATACAGAAATTATGAATTTACAATACAGATATTATGAATCTACTGTATAAAAATTATGAATCTACGATTTAAAAATTATGAATTTAAAGTATAAATTTTATAAATTTACAATATAAAAATTATGAATCTACAATACATAAATTATAGATATAGAACCGTGTCCACTTGCATGTGCTAACACCATAATGTTTCAATATTTGAGATAGACGAAAAAGTAAGACATAAAATGGAACAAAAACATTAATATGTTAATATATCTATGCTAGCTAGCTAGCTAGTGATCCTCTTTCTTCATAATGGATTTGCTTACCCATATTGCAGCTTGGCTTCTACTATCTGCGTTACTCTACACACTATGGAAGAAGTCCCAACCCAATTCCAACAGAAACATAGTATTACCGCCGGAAATCCCGGGGGCCTGGCCAATCATAGGCCACCTCCATTTACTCGGCGTCCAGATCCCACTGGCACGAATCTTGGCCGCCATGACCGACAAACACGGCCGGATCTTCTCTCTCTGGCTTGGCATGCACCGCGCCATCGTCATCAGCGACCGAGAATTCCTCAAAGAATGCTTCACAACCCACGACAAGGCCCTCGCCGGCCGACCGGAGTCATCCGCCGGCGAGTACCTCGGCTTCAACTACGCCGGCTTCGGCCTAGGCAGTTACGGCCCGTACTGGCGCAAAATCCGGAAGATTGTCATGTCGGAAGTCCTCTCCGCCCGGCGGCTCGAGAAATTCAGCCATACCCGAGTCTCCGAGGTCGAAACCTGCATCCGAGAATTACACTCCGCCGTCATCGCCGCCCAATCTCCGGCCACCGGAGAAGCAATGATAAACATGAGCCACTGGCTGGAAAAGTTGACGCTGAACTTAATCGTGAAGATTATCGCCGGCAAGCGGTACAAGACGGCCGGGGTGGAAGACGACGAGGCGAATCGGTCGAGGAAAGCGGTGACGGAATTATTAAGCCTGTCGGGACAGGCTGTTGTGTCGGACGTGATTCCGGTAACGTTGTTGAGATGGGTGGATATCAAAGGAGTGATTAAGTCGATGAAGCGGGTAGCGGCGGAGATGGACGCCATTATTGGAGCTTGGATAGATGAGCACGGCGAGAGAGCGCCGGAGAATGAGCGTGACTTCATCGACGTTTTGCTTTCGGTGGTCACCGACGACTTATTGGAATATGGTCACACCAAGCGTACAATAATCAAGGCTACTATAATGGTACGTCATTTAAACTATATAACGTTATATTTTTCAAAAAATATACATAACTCAATGTCTAGGATTAATAATGATTAAGAAACGCGGTGGCAATTTGGTCTTTTTACATATAGGTCAAATTTAATGTGCGTGATTTTACTTCATAAGGTACCTAATTTTTGTGTTTAAGGTGCATAGTTTCTGTGTTGTGTGTTTAAGGTGCGTTGAAAACTTAAGTGCATCATTCTAAAGCTTTAGGTGCGTGATTTTCCTTCTTAAGGTGTGTGGTTTCTGTGCTTTAGGTGCGTCAATTGTTGAAACTTAAGGTCCGTCGATCTAAAGCTTTAGGTTCCTTGTTTTCTTTCTTAAGGTACGTCGGTCTAAATCTGTAGGTGCGTGATTTTTCTTATGTGCATTGTTTTCCTCCTTTAAGATGCTTTGTTTTCCTTCTTAATGTGCGTTGTTTTTCTTCTTAAAGCGCGTCATTTTTACAGTTGATTTTTTCAGTTTTGGTTCCCAAGTTCAAAATTATCTAATTCAAAAGAAAAAAAATGATACAAAATATAATAAAAATAGTAGAGTTATTATCTTTTGGAGTAAATATGAAGAACATGGATGCATTTGAGGACGAGCGTTTTTAAAAAAAAAAAAAAAAAAATTGAGCCTTTGTCCCGTTGATCTAGATTTGATCAACGATTCAAATCTAACATCATTTTTCACCTAAGAACATCCTGCACCAGAACTTATATATATATATATATATATATATATATATATATATATATATATATATATATATATAAAGTTCCTGTACGCTTGAGTGTCTTTCGTGCGGTTGTGCGGTGATTAATGTGTTTTGTTTGTGTGTTGTGTACTTTAAATGTACCAGTTTAATGCTTAAGGTGCGTTTCTTTGCACAATGGCATGGAAAGTCCTTCCTGCCTTGATCCCTTCTCTCTCTCTCTCTATATATATATATATATATATATATATATATATATATATATATATATATTTATATTTATATTTATTTATTTATTTTGTTTTTGGAGCTCATTGTATTGGGCTTGACTTGTATGTGCAGACGTTAATAGTGGGTGGGTCAGATACCACAGCGGTCACCTTGACATGGGTGCTATCCTTACTGCTCAACAACAGAGATGCGCTGCAGCGTGCCCAGAAGGAGATAGACACCGTCGTCGGCGTCGGAAGATGGGTGGAAGAATCCGACATCAAGAACCTCCCATACCTACAAGCCATCATAAAAGAAACGTTACGCCTGTACCCAGCGGCGCCGCTCTCAGTACCGCACGTAGCCACGGAGGATTGCGACGTCGCCGGCTATAACATTCCGAGAGGAACGCGCTTGCTGGTGAACCTATGGAAGCTGCACAGGGACCCTGAGGTGTGGGCGGGCGCCGAGGAATTCCGGCCCGAAAGGTTCTTGCCCGGAGGCGGCGCGTCCGAGGCGGATTTTCGCGGCCAGCATTTCGAGTTCATCCCGTTCGGATCTGGGCGGCGGTCGTGCCCGGGGATTACTTTCGCGATGCAAGTGAACCACCTCGTGGTTGCTCGGTTGCTTCAAGGTTTCGATTTTAGTACGCCGTCGCACGCGGCGGTGGACATGACGGAGGGCGTTAGCGTTACCCTCCCCAAGGCTAAACCCTTGGAAATACTAGTTGCCCCTCGTCTTCCTTCTCTACTTTATGAATCTTAAATATTTTTAAATTACACAAATACCACCGTGTGTGGTTTAGCATCTATTTTTCAAAAATAGATGCTAATAGTCTATTTGTTTTTGTCCAATTTGTACTAATACAAAAACTCTACTCTTCTTAGCTTTTCAGATTTTTTCATATACTTTCTCAACCATCGCCTCAACTGAGGCTCGAACTCATAATCTTCCAAATGGAAGTCCAACCCGGATACCATTGGACCACATAATTCTGATTTTTCAAATTTTGATTTATTGTCCTAACTAGTGTTTGCACCCGTGCGATGCACGGTCATAAATCTAAGAAGTAAAATGTAAGTACTTAAAATTAAAAGTAATAGGATGAACTGCGAGTTTTATTAAACATTATTGAAAGCTTCTTTATATATGACATTTGTAGTCGTATTTTTTGATTGTACATTATCGTCACAAATCAAAATTTTTAATCCGCTAGGATTACTAACCCTTGACACCGCTACATACATTTGTCCGTGATTAAACACCGGCCTCTTCAAAAATAATCCGACGTTTGACAATGTTTGTCCCTGGCTTTTGTTTATTGTCATGGCATATGACAACATTAGCGGAAATTGTTTTCTTTGAAACTTAAAAGGCAATCTTGGATCTGACGGTGTTAAGGACATCCTTGGTATTAATACCTTTGTACCAGCACTTGTTCCGGTCAATATTTGAGCTTCTAAAACATGAGTAGCCAACTTTGAAATGATCATCCTTGTACCATTGCACAACCCCAATGAGTGATCAATATTTCTCAAGAGCATAACCGGTGATCCAACTTTTAAAGTCAATGAGTGATTTGGCACTCCAGAACATCGTAAGCCATTTAAAAACTCCGGTGTGTGTAGATTAGCAAGCATGTCAACATTGGAATCAGATTTGCATACCGAATCACAACTGAGATATGTCATTCCTTCAGCAGTATTATATGCATTCATGTATTCATTGATGTTATCTACCACGTCCAAAGTTGGTGCCAAAATTGCACAATCTTTTAGATATTTGACATCTCTATTTCCAGTACGAAACCCCGGGAATATGCTATCAACCATTGTAGAAATAGGATCCTCCACTGACTTGAGTAAGAATTTATCTGGAATATTGATCTCAGACTCTCCATCCAATGAATCACCAATTGTTCCGTCACCTATATTAGCAATCCACTTTGCATATTCTTCAATCTCTTGAACTCCTGAATCTGATTGCAATGCCCTAAGCCGTAGATTCTTTGTTAGCCTAAATACTTTACAGCTTCTCCAAAGATATGATGAATTTATACTTGCTCCCACAATATCTTGCCTGGTGCCCTTTGGAATTACTGGTAAAATTTGTCTGAAGTCTCCACCTAACACAACGGTTTTTCCACCAAAAGTCATTTCAAAACTTCTTGGATTTTGAACACGCAGTAGATCTCTCATAGTTCGGTCCAAAGCTTCAAAGCAAAATTTATGCATCATTGGTGCCTCATCCCAAATGATCAACCTACACTGCATGATCAAGTGTGCCAACGGACTGCTTTGACTGATATTGCAAGTAGAATCTTCATTGACAGCGATTGGTATTGCAAACCTCGAATGCGTTGTTCTTCCCCCTGGTAATAATAGAGAAGCTATGCCACTTGATGCAACATTTAAAACTATCTCACCCTTTGACCTCAAAGCGGAAGACAATGCTCTCCACAAAAAGGTTTTCCCTGTACCACCGTATCCATACACAAAAAAAAACCCCCCAACCTCATTCTCAGCATCGTGCAATACGTTATCATATATTGCCTTTTGTTCTTCAGTCAGTTGGTCCAGCAAACTATCATTCTCTTCCTTCATTGCATCTCTGTCATATGACAATTCCTCTTGTATTAACCTATTGGTTGCTCTGTCAAGATTCTGTAAATCAGGAAAGGGCATTGACGGAAAGTCTTTCAAACTCTTTCCCATAGTCGTCAGAAGTAGTTGTATCTCTGAAAGTGCATAATTCTTTTTCTGATCTTCAGATAAAATTAAATCTGTGGTATAATTATCAAAGAAATAGTATAAGTGTGTTTATAAAAGTAGATTGCATCACATGAAGAAAGATTGTAAAAGAATTGAATACCTCCAAGTCCAGTCTGTTCTCTAATCTTGAATTGTGCATCTTCAGTCAAAGAGTTCCACGTAGATTCCCACACTACTTCTGGGTGTGACATTGAGTTGGACATCAACAAAGTCACAAACAATCTTCTCAAATTCGCAGATGTGGCCCACTGACCTGCTTCTTCTATAGCATGAACATATTCTTTATCGTCGTCTACTAATCCTCGAGCTGAACACGCATCCCTAAAGGATTCGTACTGCACACCATTCACTTTTTTTATATCTGAAAAACTGGTGGGCCCTTGAAATTTATTCAGAAGACATCGCAAATAAAAGATCTCGCCACTGGCCGGAGGCACATAGAACACTCTACCTATTGCAAATCCTCTTTTCCTTGGCTGCCATTTCCTAATATCTTTTTTCCATACAAACTTCGTGGGCATTTCAGCATATGTCAATTTCCTTGCTTCTGGGTATGTTTTATTTGCCTCAAACCATTCTAGAAACATGCTTTGTAATATAGTTGGTCGACTGAGTATGTTATCAACCGGATCATCGTCTGCAAAAACTACACTCTGTTGATTGGGCAAGTGAAAGCTTAATCGTTCAACTGATGGTGTTCTTAACTGTATTTCAAATCCAAATAAACGCCAAGCAGCTTCGCATGGAGATATGTACCTACAATCATAGTACATACTTATCTCATCAATGATCTGCGGTCCATCTTCCTCGCTGTTGCTTCGGTAGAACTCTGCTGTCACCCTGTCGTTACCCTTGTTGACGTATTTGAACAGGTACTTTATTGAACGGGACTGGTTGCACCATTCCACATTAATATGAACTCTATACTTTAACAACAAATGCCTATTGTGTGGCACCACGTAGCGATTATCCAAGTTGATGCCATTTCTCACCACAGAACGACCATTGTCACGTCTCCGATATATAGGATAACCATCATCGTCAAAAGTAGAAACATTAACAAACTTTTTGGGAAAGTGTTTAGTACATTTACCCTTCGCCATGCATGGAGAATTCAACCGAGCTCTACCGCAAGGACCGTGCATCATAAACTCATCCACTAATTTGAAGTATTCTGGATCTAGTATTGGATCAGGTAACTCAGCTGAAATAATGTTGTCCAAATGTATCCCATGTGATGCTCCATGTTGTTTATCGAGAAATAAAAGTATATGAGCATGCGGTAGGCCACGCTTTTGAAATTCGATGGTATAGATAACTGTTAACATTGAAAAATGGGTGTTAAAATAGAATATAAACAACGTTAATAGCAATAAAAAAGCTTACACAAATAATAGAAAAAGCATAACAAAATAGTTAAGTACCTCCAATGACGGGTCCAAACAACTTGTTCTTCCTGCATTCAGAAATTAAAGCATCCAACTTCAACTTGAATAATCTACATATTATGTCAGGCCGGTCTTCTGGCTTTAAATTCCGATCAATCAAGAAGCGTTTCACCTTAGGCCACTTTGGATTGCATGTGAATGTGATAAAGAGATCCGGGTATCCAACCCATCTACATATAGTCATAGCGTCCTGGTAATTCTGTATCATGTATCTAGCACCACCCGTAAAACTTGAAGGCAATATTATTCTCTTTCCTTGAGTCCGAGGATCCACTTCACCGCGTGTTAATGCATCATTCAAGCAATTATATGTTTCGCACCTCAAACTTTTTTGTTGTGTCCTTATATATATCAACCTTCCTGACTCCACCATTGTATACGCATCCACCAAAAATTGTTGGAAAAGCCTTTTTGCATACAGTAATGTAGAAGCCTGCGATAATCTTGACTGGATGAGGTATGAAAAATATTCCCTCGGACTAATCCTTTGACGACCACCTGAACTGTTTCCTTTTAATGTGGAGAATTGGATGTCTTCCCTATAACCGTCCTCACCGTAAGGAAACAACAACGGGTATTGCATTGGTAAGTAAGCTGGGTTTAGTTCACTAATTCGTTGTAATAGGCCGCTCTTTGTTTCCACAACGATGTCACGCTCACCAATATTTGCATCCATATCGCCAACAATTAATGCAGCAACTTCAGAAACTTGAGGCAAATTGTAAGTTCTCGCATCCTTTGATCTCTTACCAAGCAATTTTATCTTTACCTCAGCCAAAGGATTTTTTTCTATTTCTGAACGGGCCATTCTGAAGGACTTTACCAAAATATTATTTGCATCCAACGCTTGTTGAATATCCTTGACAATTTCTTCATGGATGTCATTTAGATCACCGTTTGGCCTATTAATATAACATGAAACGTTTGAATAAGTTCAATTACAAAGGCAGCTTATTTAATATGCGATATTATATTAAACAATAACCTATCCAAATATAGACATACCTTACGGAATTGAGACGATTCATCAATTCATTATTAGTATCATATATATACAACTGCGCAAAATGTGGTCTTTTCCCGTCCACAGGCAAAAGACTACCAATGTAGTGGAAGTTTTGTCCATGTATCCGAAAAATTGGTGGACCACCATTTTTGTTCACATCTCTATCTATCTTACCACCCATTGATGTAAAGCAGAACATATTATTGTACGTTCTTATGTTGTTCAAGAAATGCTTGCTTTTTTTCACCAACTCCAAAGAAAAGGTCATATATCGGCGGCGGGGGCAATTGTGTTGTTGGCAATTGAATTTTACCATTGTTGCAACACATTGTATATCTGGGTGTACCGTGAATCACCGTTTTGTTTATCCTTTCCTCGTGCCAAAAAATCGCCCCGCAATGTTGACATGTGTTATTGGCATCACCAAAATCATTGTATTCCACTAAGTAGAAAAATACTAAATCAATTATTTAAATTAATTAAATAAGACTTAACATTTTTTTATTTAAATAAAATTAAATTTGAGACATACCTTTGTTTGCATCTGACGGTTGTAATACAGTAGTCAGATTTTCTTCTTCTTCAACATTTTGATTGAACCCTGTATATAAAATTTAGAATTTCTCAAAGATGATTTCCTTGATTCTTTAAAATAAAGAACAAAAATCGCAATTAACTTAAAAAAATTACCATTCGCTGTAACGTTTAGGTTTGTTGATGCTGCTGGAATATTGGAGACTTCTTCGAACGCCATAAATAAATCTCTATTAAGCACATTTGTTGCGTTTGGGTCTGCACTGAACTGCGTGTTTTGGATGATTTTTCCGTTCGTATTGACTTACAAAAAAAACATTATTAAAATAATTTTCAAAGAATCGAAGTGCGTGAAACATTCTAAGAAGCAAAGTAATAACCTTACCATTTGATATTTCTGAAAGCGGTCGTCTTGTGGTTGTGGATTGGCATAATTGGCCTTGTACCGTTAAATTGCATAAAAGACGAAGGTATAAATGAAAAAAGTTTATATAAAAGAATTGATAGATTGTAAAACATAATTGAATGTACCATTAGTTATGCCGCTACTTCCAGTATTGAAAACAGGGCTATTGACTCCTAGCACGAATTTTCTGCATTTATTGTTGGTTTTTGTATATTCCATATTATGTGCGCTTAGGTTTATACTCACATGTTCTTGTTTTCCACATTGAAAATAAAATAAACATTAGCAAAAAAATTATACATACATGAATTTAAAAGAATAATACCATATATATTAAAATTTAAATTGTTTTGATTTACCATCCGTGACCGAAGTGTTTGGTGTGATAGTTCTATTAGAAGTGAACATTGGTGTTCCTGCCGTGTATGAGTGCGTCTGATTCTCTTTTCCGACAGCATCACTATTTTTTTCAACCGTTCTACTATGTACATTTTCTGCAACATATTAGAAAATGGGTTAGATAGTAATTCTTTGTTTTTAGTAAATAATTACCTAAGTAGATACAAAGTAATATCTATCAATAGTAATCCAGAACAATAAGCGAAAAAAATTATTATTCCCTACGTATAATAATATGTACAAAATAAACACATGTCAAAATATATACTTAGTCCATTTATACCATAACAAAATATATACTTAGCCCATTATAATAAACACATAATATATACTTAGCCCATTTATACCCTAACCAAAACCTATTAAATAATGAGCCCACATACCCTACCCAAACCCGCCCGTAATACCCATACCCGGATCCTAAAACCCAAACCCAACCCATTGTAGGCTTTGACTACCCGGACACCTCATTCGGACAGTGTAGAACCTCTGTCAATCCCTTAGCTCTCTCTCTCTCTAACACTCACTCCGATCGCGCAGAATCTCTCCGATCTTAGCGATGGCCATCTATTCTTTAGGTTTCAAACTCAATTTCGAGCACAATTTCATTCTGACCGAGCTCTCTCTCTCGATGTAGAACTACTTGTTGTTCGTCTATACACACAGCTCACCCTACAATCTTCCCTTTTTCTAACCAGAAAAAACAAATCTGAGATCGGTTTAGGGAATTAGGTCCGATCTACTGTTAAAGTTACATTTCTGGTGTTTTAGAGTAAGAGGTTATAGATGAGTGTTTCTAATATCTGTGGATTCAACACGGTGTCGAGAAACCTAATATCAAGGTAAAATTTCGAACTCTTTTATCTTTATATATATATATATATATATATATATATATATATATATATATATATATATATATATATATATATATATATATATGTACATCAACAATTTGAATTGTACTTAGTGTATAGATTTCTTATAATTTAGATCGTTATAGATGTATACATACCTTAGCAGTTAGGGTTTTACATAAATTTTCATCGTTGCCTTAATTTCAGGTAAATTGTCGACAACAGCACTAAGTTTACAGTGTAAGAATGGCGTAAAGAGGTAAAACTTGTAGAAACAGTGTACATACAACAACATTTGGCAAAGGTAATGCTTAAATAATAAGATCTTAATGTGCGTATGTTACCTGGAGTGTTAATTGGCTGCTTCCTTTTGCTACCTATAATTGTAGAACTGACTATTTTCCGCATGATTACTGAGTGCAATTTTTGTTTGTTGTAAAACATTAACTGTCAATAGGGGAACTGTCTGAGTGTGTTTAGATTTAGGTTTTATATCAGGTCTGGTTAATAACTTGTCTTGTTTGTCTAAAAAGGGGTGTTTTGTGTGCAAAATGAATTAGCAGTAATAATTTAAATGACTCTTGAGTTTCTCTTGGGAAGAGCATAAAATGATCTGTTTTGATGTAATTGATATTTTGAGATTGCTGACATATTAGCTTTGTAGTTTATCATACTATGGACTTTATCAGGTCATTTTTGCTTAAATGTATTTAGTACTTTAACATTAAATTTGTGGTTTTTCTGAGCAGTTAATTTGATAGGCAAATGATGATATTTAAAATCTGATGCCAAAATGATGGATAATTCCTTATTACTACAGCATTACATTAGATCCCATTATTTTAACTAAATTTCTTTTTATTAGACCATTTTTCAATCTGATGCCAAAAATATGCTTCCTCCATGGATTTGCAATTAATCACATAGTTCAGTTCTTTGACCTTGTATGTGTGTTATTACTAAGCAGTTAATTTTATTGCCAAATGATGATGTTATAAATGTGATGGCAAAATGATGTAAAATTTCTGATTCGTAGATCAATAAATTTATGTGGATTGTTTTGCTTTAGGGAATTTAGTCCGTCATTGATATTTTAATGACTTTGAATTCCTTTAAATGAGTTCATTACTTGTACATTGTATCTGTGGTATTAGTAAGAAGTTCAATTTGTAGGCAAATGCTGATATTAAAAATCTGATGCAAAAATGATGTTTCATTTATGTTTCTTAGATCAAGAATTCAAGGGTGAATTGTTTTGCTTTAGGGAATTAATTCCAAATTTCATTTTAAACTTCATTTCAATTCCTTTATGTTAGTTGATTACTTTGACATTGTATATGGGGTATTACTAAGCAGTTAATTATATCTGCAATTGATGATCTAAAAAATTTCATGCCAAAACGTTGTAAAATTTTTGAATCTGAGATCAATAATTGTATGTCTATTGTTTTTCTTTAGGGAATTAATTCCAAATTTCATTTTAAATTGACTTTAAATTCATTATATTAGTTGATTACTTTGACATTTTCTCTACGGTATGACTAAGCAGTTAATTTTATAGACAAATGATGATCTTCAAAATCTGATTCCAAAACAATTGACAATTTCTTAGTATTATACCAACAATTATATGTGGATTTTTTTGCTTTAGGGAATGAAGTACAAATTTCATTTTAAATTTTCTGTCATTTCCTTTATATGAGTTCATTACTTTGAAATTCTATATGTGTTATTACTAAGCAATTATTTCTATAGGCAAATGATGATCTTAAAAATGTGATTCCAAAATGATTAGCAGTTTCTGATTCTTAGATTAATAATTGTTTTGCTTTAGGGAATTAAGTTCAAAATTCATTTAAAATGACTTTCAATCCATTTATATGACTTCATTGCTTTGTTAGTAAAGTATTTTAAAAAATTGGTTATCAAGAAGTTCATTTCATAGGCAAATGATGATCTTCAAAAACTGATGCCTAAATGGTGGATAAAGTGTTACTCTTAGATTATTTTATATATTCTATGACTGTATTGCTTTAGCTAATTGATAATTTAAGATTTGAAATGACTTATAATTTCGTTCTATGTGTACATTATTTAAAATGTGATTCTCACATTAGCTAAAGTTTCAGAAATGGTTTTTATTCCTTTAGCTAAATATTTTTTAAAAAATGTATTTTGGGTGTTTGATGGCAGATTGTTCCTTTCCTAAATGATTTGGTATTTAATAAGTTGTTTTAGGTACTCTAACATTAGATCACTTAACTTACTAAGCAGTTTATTATTTAAGTATAGATGATTATCTTTGGAATGTAAAGAAAAAAAAATTCTAACAACAGCTTTAATGTTTTGGCACACAAAATAAGATGAGGTTTTATAATACAAATTGCAAGTATTCAACAATAAGAAAAATTACAACTACCAAAGACTTGGTAAGAATACCAAAAAAAAAAAAAAAAAAAAAAAAAAAAAAAAAAAAAAAAAAAAAAAAAAAAAAAAAAAACTTATACTACATTTTAATCCAATTTGATGTTGTACTTTCTTTTGTTGCTACTCTTTGGTTGCTTGTGGTTTTCTCTGATGGCTTGAAAACTGATATCCTTTATTGCTGGTTCTTGATAAATCTTGTTAGGCTTACGACATAGAAACAACCATTTAAAAAAATTGTTAGCAAAACATTAGTAACTCAGAGATCAGATTGTGATCCTTAGGAGTTCTCAAATCCAACCTGCATACAGATAGATACACAATACAATACCAAATAGTTTAAACATTCATGGATGATTAGACAACTGATAAGTACATAAACCAAAATACTCAAATACAGTACTTTAGCACTATTAAAGTGCTATGAAGTCTTGGTGCTTCCCAAAAACAAACTTCAAAAATTCCAACCAACACAGAAAGGTGGACAATTGTCTGTACTTTGCTCATAGTTTACCAACAGACCAGACATCTAAAATCGTGTGGTTTAACACTCAATTTTTT